TAAATTAAAAAAGAAAAAAGAAAATTGATTCTGGGAAGCTTGTCATGCACTCCCTAACACTGTAAGGAGAGACTTAGATAGAAAAAAACACAGAGAGATAAATGATAAAAAAAAAATAAAACACGGAGGATAGGTGATTCAAAAAAAATAATTCACGGGAGGTTTATTTGAACTTTTCCCTCTATTCCATTCTATTTATGGATATAATAAATAACTAACTCCACAAAAACATTAATGTGTCTCAACCATTTGTGTCCTACTCTTATATTTGTGTGCTCTCTTACTATTCATTAATCGCAGTTAAGATGATACCTTGATCTAAAATTGGAACAGGCTCTCCTAACTTTTTAGTAAAAATATATATTAATTTATTAGGAGGTAAGATCTTTTGATATCGATGTCAAATTTGAAATTTGACATCTCATCCGAGAGTCGTTAGGTCAAAAAGATCAACGATTCTGATTTGTAAGCATGTGACATCATTGATCTTTTTTGATCTAACGACTATCAGATGAGGTGTCATACTTCAAATTTAACACCGATATTAAAGGATCCAACCTCATTTACTAGTTCATTTGAGCCAAATTTAAAAAGTTAAGTATCGATATTTTTTTGGTAAGCAAAAAGCATCAATTTAATTAAATGATATCTAGTTCAATAATTTTGTACTTTTAAATTTTAATTATATTAATTTTTATTCCGATAACCAGACTAAGGCTAATACTGTTTTATTTTTTGTCTATTTGATTATATTTTGGTTTCATTGCCGTGTGTATTCTTAATTTAGTTTCTCGTAGATCAATTTTTGGCAATTTCATACCAAATCAAAATATACGTCAATTTAGTCCTTTTGAAATCAAATTTTACCTCAAATACACTTTACAATGAACTGAATTATCGAACATTTTGATCAATAAAGTACAAAATTATACAAATTTATGAGTGACCATAAAGAATGAACATATTAATTATGGACTAAAATAGGACGGTTGTTTAGAATAGAAAAAATCAAGACTTTAATCGGAAAAGCATGAAAGCAGAGCACAAGTTTCAGCAATTTCGAGGTATCTACGAGTCTTCATACATGTGTGTGTTATCTTTCTTTCTTTCTTATTTATTTGTAGTCTCGAGTTACAACAAATATAATTGATGTAATATCTCACAGTACAAGATATTAATTTTCCTTGAAGCAAGGTATACCCTAGTACCCGACTATTACTCGCTGCATGTAACCTTCTCAGTGTTATATGAAATTATAATAATTTAACTTAAAGATCAATCATCATAACAACCGAACATGTTTAAACTCCCTTCTATTAATCTCATGTTAAAGGAAATAGTTATCTCATGTTAAAGGAAATAGTTATCTCATGTTATAGGGATAAATTTGTGGGCTCCATCACTAAAAAAAAAAAAAAAAGTGACACAATTATCGAATGATGTGTAAGAGGAAAAACTTATCTCATGTAACATGAGAATATTTTTTCCCTTAAACAAATCACCCTCATGGAACTTTAAGATATGTAAATCAAGATGATGATGAATTTAATAATAAATTTGTTTCTCTCCTTCTCCTTCTCCTAATATGACAATAGCCTTTTTTTAAATGAATTGAACATATCTAATTTATCATATAATTTTAAAATAAAGTAACAGTATTTCATATAATCAAGAAAACTATGAACTAGCATATCCTAAAAAAAAATTATATTATATTTTTTCTTTTTTCTTTTAATCTACAGATATTATTTTCTTGTGGTGTTGATTATTTGATTGTCAGGGTCATTCCCAAATCTTTTTTTTTCCAGTTTTATCCCAAATTAAAGTTTAAATTGACTTGACAACCAAATCTCATTAATAGAGATCAATGTCATTAAATTCGGTCCGATTATTGTCCTGGTTGAGATACTGAATCACTAGTTCAATTAGTGGGTCATTGATTTAACTGCATAACCCGATAAGTATATGTAAATTTATAATATATATTAAAAAATTATAAATATACTCAAATAGTTATAAAAAATGATACCAATTTCAAATATTTTAATATAAAAAACAATAAATTACACATCATTGTCCAACAAAAAATCAACCAAACATATAATATTTGTGATATTGGAGCTTTATGTTCAGTAGACGACACCTCCAACTATAAATCAAATCAAAATTCGCTGCATATTGCATAACCAAGATAATAATTAGTGTTGTAGGTACATAACTTATGTAACTCAATAAGTACCAGATCACTCAGATATTTCAAAAGAAAACAAATTATTTGTGTGTGAGAGTGAAAAAAGGCATCAATTGATGAGAACAAACATTTTTTTATGAACCGGGCCGGATCACCAGTTAAACTGATAAGGTCACCGATTTTTACAAAAATCGGTCGAATCGCACCGCTTCCATTTTATGGCCGATCCAATATGAAAATTGGACTAGTTATATTACTGGTTCACTGATTTTCGGGTCGACTCGGTCAGGTCAGTTTGGTTTTTATAACAATGATAGAGATATTATTATTGTATGATTTTATTTAAATATTTTTCAATAAATGTCTTTTGTTCAGTGTTTAAAAAGTCGGTTCGACCATCAACTCGGCCGAGATCAGGGTTCACAGAGACATGAGTTTAACTAGGGGGTCATAAGGTCACTTCGCTGACCCGATTTTATACATTAAAAAAATATAAATATATATCATATATGAAAAATTCAAAAAAAACAAACCACCAATCATCAAATATTCAAAATATACTTAGCATAATTCAATTAATTACATCCACTTGTTAATATTACACAAGCTAATGAAAATATCAGACTATAAAACACATATTCCAATGGATTTAATGAAAAGTTATATCATCAAACTCATACTCTCCTTGTCCTTCTCACGCACCTACAACAACGGTGGGGGAAAAGAACCAGCACGAGAGGAGAGGGAGAGAGAAGACCGAAGATGATAAGAGGAACCACCACTATGGCGGAGGAGATCACCGGATCAAGAAGACTTGGTCTGGATCTGGGAGAGAAGATCAGAAGAGAAGAAGAATAACGATTCAGATTTCAAATATAGTTTTAGATCTAAGCAGCAATGAGTTTTTTTTTTTTTTTTTTACACACCAAATGATGTCTTTTCGTGTGTAATTTTTTTAAAAAAAATGCAGTGACTCCCTTTAACCTGGGAGTTACGAGTTCAAACAGGAGATTTCGGGGGTCACTGACCCAACAAGATCGACTCCGAAGTGAGGCGTGGTTTTAAAACATGAAGGTTGCATAGAAGAGTAAGACTTCTGTTTTTTTAATAGAGTTTTCTTAGTCTAATTTTAATTTTAAATGAATGGAAAGTATGATATGTACGTTTGTCAAGATTGTGATAGTCTAAATTAATTACACATTATTAAATGCAAGCAAAAATAGTTCTATTAGCTTTAGCCAATAATGTGAGAGTTAATTAATGTATGAACTGGTGAATAAATTTAGAAGTGAGAAATGTTGTTTCCAGCTTCCAAATTAATTTTTTTTTTCCTTTTTTGGTGATCCAAAATTAATTCTTAAACTTACCCTTTCGAATGCAATACATCTATGGGAATGTTTCTCATATGACTTTAATGTTTGTAAAGTGAACGTAGATAAGTTATCTACATTTGCTCTCAAAACGACGTCGTTTTGCATTGAAAAATTAAAAAATTATAATGAAAAATACTATTATACCCTGAAATAAATTATAATTACAAAAATACCTTGATTTCCGCTTCAAAACGACGTCGTTTTGGACTCACTGTAGATAAGTTATCTACATTGACTCTAGAAAAAACGAACCCTCGTTATATTGCATGAAATAAATTATCTAATGCAATATACACAAAAGTGTATAAGATTCACTTTTCATCTATTTTTTTGTGTTAGCATCATATAATTTGTCTCATGCAATAACATGAGAAACTATATCCCTATTTATAAGCATGTGTTTTGTTATGAAATGTTATTTATTTTGCATATAACATGTGAATAAGAATCGTCATTGAAAAGCTTTTATTGTTCCTTACTAAGTTAAAAAAATATAATTGTTGTTAAATTAAAATTAAATTAATAGCTTGCCTCACATGTAATCTTATCTGGGAATCAGATTAGTTGAGTAATCAATGAATCGATAAATAATATCTAAAATATGAAATTAATAACTTTTATTTAATATTATTTTATGACTATTAATTCAATTTTAATAGAATCCGTAAGATGGTATATGAAAAAAAATATTATAAGTATAGCTTAGAGCTGATGTGAAATCACATCTCCATGGTAATAAAAAATTCCAACAAAAGAGTTGATTTGAGTGGTACATGGTTGATTTCGCATAAGCAAGGTTTTAGATAAATGTAAAAATTTTCCTTCGAGAGAGCTAGATCCATAGGATGTTTTTGTCTCAAACATAATTGTCTCGTGTAAAAGATAGATCTGATTTATTTTTTTAAAAAAATCCCCTTTGGTAACAAAAGAACTTACGTCGACAGATTGTTCTTTACGCCAAGGGAAACATCAAAACATCAAATAGGAGTGTCCATTAACAATAATGCCATTCTCCATTTGCAGGTTGTTGGGAGAGAGTTCCCTCGAATGATTCGCCAACAGCAACATTCCACCATTATAATCATAAGCGTTGTTCTTCTCGAATCAAAAGGTTACGCAGTTGGTGGATCATTGCGTGTTACTTGTCAAGTTTGGCGTGCTTTATCTTCCCCCAAATAAATAAATAATAGGCTATTGTCAACAAGTGTGTTGAAAATGAAATATTCATTAAACAAAATTTAATATATTTTATTCAACATTTTTAGATGATTTAAAGAATATTAAATATTTTACTTTTCATTTAATGATTCTTAAAAGAAAAAAAGAAAAAAAGAAAAAGCTAATTAACAAAAATAAATTAAGGATAACGGAAATAGAACCTGTGGGCAAGAGGATCTAGATCCGGAAGTGGACCACTGGACCCAAATCTGTAGGCATTGTGTCTGGTTCTTTTCTCTGATACATGCGCTGCACCGCTTGTGATTACTACCTGAACGGTATCCGAATTTGAGATTCGAATTTCGGTGTTCCTGTTTCATTGACCATCCTTCACCCAAGTTTATCTTCTAGAAAGACGCTACCAAATATTGGAATTGGAACCCAATCACAACAACAACAACAACAACAACAAGAGAAGAGAAAAACGCTCCTCGAATCAAATTATCTGAACCCTGAGAATCTCCCTTGCAAGGTGAGTTCTAATTCTAAGTCAACTATTCATTTTTCATATTTATATAATAATATGTATATATATATATATATATATATATATATATATATATATATATATGTTCCTTATCTTTCTTCTTCTACTCGTTCGATCCAACTCAACTCGCTGTTATATTTATCAACACGTGACTCAGGTGTTTTAATATAAATGTTTCAGGTTCAATTTTCATGCGTTGATTATTTCCTCCTAATTGGATTTCATTTCAGTTCCGTATGTTAATTTGTTCGAGGATTTTAAACCGTGCTTATTTTTTTCCCATTAAAATTCAGTAAGGGGATTAGGATTTTCAGTATTAACAAGAATACGGGTTTGTAATTTTTCTACTCGATAATAATCTCTCTTTATACGGTTGCCACTTATCGTAGATTACTCTCCCAAGCTTCATGAACACGATTTTAGATTCGAAACGTACATATTCAGCAATAACTTGTGCATAGAGATGGGAACTTATTCTCTAAAGGGAAATGGGGTCTTTTGAGAAATGCTACTGTTTCGCTGTGTAAGATGGGTTTGAATTTGTCATCTCTGGTTGAACATTGGGATGTTATACAAGATAGAAAGATGGTTTTGAAGCATTTTTTTGGTAGGTGGGAGTGCTCGTTGTGAGAGACAGTGAATAATAAGAAGGCATCTTATGTTCCCTAGTAGAAGGTGTGAAAGTTTTGAGAATCCCCTGTTATTTAAGAGGTGTAAGTGGTGATTCAGTTTCTGTCCTGCCTCACCCAGTTATGTATTTTTGCCATTTTCTACTTTTTGCGTCTTATGATATTATTAGCCGGTACGATATATTTTTAAGGAGGATAATTTCATTATTCAGAAATATGTTTTTCTTTTTGAAGCGTACTTGCCATTTGATCAATTACTGCATTATTGTCTGCTTGTAAATTTTACCGTGTGTCAATAATTGACAATTTGGCATTTCATCTTTGCTGGCAAATTGCTATACTGAGTCGCTAGACTAATAAGTTGGAATCTATTGTTTCCAAATTTTTAGGCTACCGTACAATTGATCATTCAGCTGTTAAAAGAAATCACTGATGTCTCTGCCGAAAGGAACACTGAACTTGACATATCTGGAAAAATATCTCTTTCAACCCATAAGTAACTTGTAAAGCAACCAACTATCCCAAAAGCATAAATTGTTAGGTCAATGTTGTTCTTAACACACCTCCTCATGCCAAGAGTTTTATAGGATTAAAGCGTTGCTAATTTGCAGACCCACCACACCAAGAGTCCTTATTTTTAGGGTTTGAAACATGAAAATTAAACTTTTTAACTAGCAGTAGGTATCGAACTCTAGACTCTTAGATCATAAAGCTCTGATATCATATAAAGAAACTAATTTAACCCAAAAGTTTAAGTCATTAAGTTAAGACACTTTTATCAGTTTTATATTATATAATTCCTCAGCATAACTTACTTTTATTAGTTTTATACAACAATTGAAATTCATCAAAATGATAAATCTATACCCCTAATATGTAACTCCAATATGCTACAAATTTGAGAGAACATAGACTGAAAGACCATATTTTGTGAACTCAAAGGTCACTTTAAAAATTAAAACTATGAACCGACCCGAAACCTTTCCCCCTCAGTGCTTGGACAAAAAAAACATGAAATGGAGTTCACTGAGTTTTAAGATTAGATTTTCTTTTCTCTTTCTACTATTCCGGTGAGTATGTGATTGCCCAACTTATATAGCAGAGAATTTACAACCAGGTGACTGTTCTTATATTTCTGTTTTCTGGATCTGCGAGGAACTTGTCACAAACATAAGATGCTTTACTCTCCATTGAGCTTATTGTAAATGAATGTGGATTCATGTTATTTTTATTATACTTGCTACCCTTTTGTCCAGAATTTTGAGAATTATTAAATAACATTAAAGTACATTATTGCAGAAGGGAGGTTTTTCAGCAGTTCCTTGAAAGAAGATGGAAGTTTGCAGGCCTCTAAAATCTGATTTACTAAAGCATCGCCCTTTGACCCCTTTTAGGTTGTTAAGGGGTCTGATATGTTTAGTGGTGTTTCTTTCTACTGCTTTTATGTGTTTAGTCTATTTGTCGCCAGTGGCTGTTATAGTATTGCGGCTTTTCAGCTTACGTTGTAGTAGGAAAGCAGTGTCATTCTTCTTTGGACTTTGGCTTGCTATGTGGCCCTCTCTATTCGAAAAGATAAACAAAACTAAAGTTTTCTTTTCTGGGGATAATATTCCAGTGAAGGAACGTGTTTTACTTATTGCTAATCACAGAACTGAGGTTGATTGGATGTACTTGTGGAACCTTGCACTTCGAAAGGGAAGACTGGGATGCATAAAATACATCCTAAAGAGCAGCTTGATGAAGCTACCTATTTTTGGTTGGGGATTTCACATTCTGGAGTTCATTGCAGTGGAGAGGAAGTGGGAGATAGATGAACAAATATTGCACCAAAAGCTTTCAACATTCAAGGATCCTCAAGATCCATTATGGCTTGCTATTTTTCCTGAAGGAACCGATTATAGGTACTACCTGATATCCCTCTTATCCTTTTGATCTCCTCTTTTAATTTCTAAGTGCTTTTATCATCATTTGATAAAATTCTTAACTCATTTCAATTCCACAAATTATTTTTATTTGGCATATTGTTGGTATGCATTTAAGCTGTGTTTTTACTAGCATGCTAAAATTTGGGCTTCATGTTATATCTTACAAATACACAATATATAATTCAACTATGTAAGCACATTTGACATATTGTGTGTTTTTTATGTAGTGAACAGAAGAGTAAAAGTAGTCAAAAATTTGCTGCTGAAGTTGGGCTCCCTGTGCTAACAAATGTATTACATCCAAAAACAAAAGGTTTTCATGCTTGCTTGGAAGCTCTTCGAGGCTCATTGGATGCAGGTTTCTTTTCTAATTTCTGGCCCTATTTTTTCTATGATACTCAGTCAATTAAGAATGACTCTATGGCGGCTATTTATGAAATTATGTAATCTGTGTCACCAAATGTAGCTGACTCTGCTTTTGAAAAGTATAATTTACTACTTACGACTTAGCATCTTTTTCCTTGCTGTGGCTTAATCACTTACTTTGTTCGTGCATGTGTGTGTGTGCCTTCATTATATTTATGTTCCGTATCTCCCCCAAGGGAAATATAATGCTAGTTCACAGACCCAATTTTGCTCGTACAACGTGTTCAATAATCTTTTGGCCAACTACGCCTCTGTGCTGCTTTTCTTTTCAAAATTGTTTCAGCTTTTAAAGTCTGTTGAACTTTGTCACTCAATTGCATGCAGTATATGATGTGACAATTGCATACAAGAATGTGTGTCCTTCCTTTCTGGACAATGTTTTTGGTGTTGATCCTTCAGAAGTGCACATGCATGTTCGCCGTATTCCTGTAGAGGAGATTCCAGCTTCCGAAGCTAAAGCTGCTTCTTGGCTAGTGAATACATTCCAGATCAAGGACCAATTGCTTTCTGATTTCAAGGTTCAAGGCCATTTCCCTAACCAAGTAAATGAAAAGGAAATTTCTACATTCAAGAGCCTGCTTTCTTTTACCGTGGTAGTTTCTTTTACTGTCATGTTTACTTATTTTACGTTTTTTTCTCTCGTTTGGTTCAAGTTGTATGTAGGCCTATCTTGTGCATATCTTGCTATTGCAACGCGTTTCGATTTCCAAATTATGCCTTTATCATACTATTTTCATGCACTCTATGACCGCAAGAAAAAAAAGAGTGAATAATGTTCTCCATTTCAAAGATCAATTGGCAATTTTTGTCTTGAACTTGATATTGAAGTGTAAATCATTTGTTGTTATTTGATTCTTCCATAATCTTGCTCAGACAGCAGCAGGAAATCAAAGGTACAATTGTACAACTGTTATTTTGTTGGAAAATCAGTATTTGATATAATTATTTCCCAAAGCCATATTTTTATTAATGACCAGTGGCATCACGGATGGGGCCAAGTGAAGGAATGAATACGAATCCGGTTCTAATTCAATTTGTCATGATTCCGATTTTAGAGAGAAATTATCAATAAACCTTCTGGAGCTTGTGCAGGGTTACAGCTTTACATTTCAGAATTTTTAAAATAGTTTTTTTTTTTTTTTTTTTAAATTATGAATCCTAAATACATCGAATTGAACAATTTAGAAACATAATGAAAAATAATTTGAAATATATCATATAATTGAAGTATAATGTTCAATATAATAGTTTTAAAATGGGAACTAAAAAGTTTACCGAAAAAAAAGGGAACTAAAAAACAATTGAACCATAAATGTAATTTTTTTTTTATAAATCATAGTCATAATTCATAACTGAGTCGGATAAAGTGATGTCATAGAACCTATGTTTCAAAACAACAAAACAGAGTAACATACACTTAAAAATAGAGTGAGCAAAGTGATTGTGTGAAGTCTATAAGTTGATGTATTTTGTGGACTTAGAGTGCAATTCATCCATGGTCCAAGCTTCTCTCTTGTGGGCAAGGATGTGATGAATAGTCTGGATTGCAAACTGGTAATTAGTAAGTTGGGAGTGAAATTGGGGCCGCTAACCTTATATAGATAATCTCGTACATGATTTGTTAGACAAATAGTTTCAAAATTTAAAACGGATGACTTGGATTTTATGAAATCTTTTTGAAAAATACCACTTTTAATATTTTGAAAAATTATTTCTCCAATCTTTGATTTAAGATAAGTAATCCTAAGGGAAATTATAAGTATGTGATCAAAGAGATAAGCTAGAGAACAAGCAAACATAATCAATTAAAGCAATTAAAGGTTGAAATAAATAGTTGAGAGTTAGAAAGATTGCAAACAATGATTTATCCTCGTCAGATGACCACCACTTGTGATCTATGTTCAGATTGTAAGTCGATCAAGCAATCTTATCATTGTGGATCCAACTTTACATGTACTTGACAAACCTCTACAATCCATCAAGTTTTCTACTACTTGGCGCAACTTATAAATCTCTTCAAAATTTTCTAGGTATTTAGCTACCTAGCAAACTCAATGGGTTCTACTACCCACAATCAATAATAATATAATTGGGTAATGTGTTTGACAATAGATAAACACTCTCAAACTGCAAGTTATACAAATTGAAGAACTAAGCAAGTATATGACTTTAATCAATGAGTATACATAAGTTAAGTGCAAGAGTTAAGGCTCAATAGATGGTAAAACAGTGTTCTTGAACTTTTTTGAACCATTGCAAATATGTAAATATATGTTTCTAATGAAATATAGTCGTTTAAAGTGTGAAAGTCTTTGTGGAAAGCATCAACCTTGAGTGCATAGAATCCACATTTTCACTTTAATTTCTCTTTATCAACTTACATCAGTGTAAGAATAAGAAATCTTACACTCAATTTTAGTCATTAATATCACTTGCATCACATGGCTAAGATAGCTAAAATTAGAGTTGGCAAAACAGGCCAACCCGGCCCAGCTCAACTCAACCCGCATTCAACTCGAAAAAACGAGCAGGGTTAGGGTTGGCTCGAAAAAAAAAATGAGCCAGAAAACCCGAGTCGGGTTAGGGTTGCCTCGCGAGTTGGCTAAAAATATGGCTCGTAGGTTAGTTTGAAAAAATAGCTCGCGAGTTGGCTCGAAAATTGCTCGCGGGTTGGCTCGTTTTCAGCCTATTTAAATGACCCTGTAGTATTAATGCACAGCTATGTGGTTTCCATCAGCTTAAATAAAGGGTTACAAAATGAGAAATAAAAGCAGAATATTTTAGTTTTGAATTTTCTTCACAACAAATTTGCATCAACATTAAGAAATAGTCAGAGCCACTTGCTACCAAGATATTTGAACCAAACAGAGCCGACATAGCCTAACAATATAAAAATGGCAGGGATGTGAGAAGATTAGGGACTTAGATTTAGAGAAGGAAGAAAAATGATGACAGCAAATGTGAGTTTTGTCCATTTTTGTATATTATATTTTGTAATATTTTTTTTAAAAAAAATCTCAACCCGCGAGTTGGCTCGTTTGACCCGCGGGTTGGCTCATTTTTTCACGAGCTGGCTCGGGTCGGGTTGGTAGTTCGTTTTTGCCAACCCAACCCAGCGTTTTTGCCAACCCTAACTAATATACATGTGGGATCAATAATTAATATTGTGATTCATCGGTGGTGTTAATTGATATGCCCTATACATTAAGAGGAGGGGCTCAATCATTATAATAGCTTTTAAACATACAACCTATATTGCTTAACAAATATTTTTATCAGCTATAACATATTGTGATATTACATATGATACACAAACAAATCAATATGAAGTATGAACTATGTTTTAAACAAATCAACTGAGATATAAAACTCAATAAAAATAAAATAAAACGAGCAAACAGACGTCAAATGTGTTTTTGTAACATACTAAACATAAGATATATTCAAAAAATTTAGAATAAAATAAAAACACATAAATTATACAACTATTAATAACATTTGTCAAATTATATTCTTTTCATTTTTGTTATGATAATCAATTCATTATTAAATTAATAATAGATAATTTTTTTAAAAAATACTTAATAGTATCAAGTTAATCATTAGTTAGAATTATGAAATGTGATAAAATTAAGTTTAAACTTTATAGCCGTCTATACAAATTTTAAGATAATAATATGTAATCTACTTTTTTTTTTTCCGGGGCGTGTTAGACATTTGGCTACATTAATAGCTATATAATACAAAGAATTAATTCAACTCAAAAATTTAAGTCATGGGGTGAAATCGTGAAACTACCTTAATGGTTTTTTTTTATAGTTCTCTAATTGTGGGAAAAGATATTATCCGTTGACTCATTCTCATCCATTGTATTTATTAGATAGGAAAGGGCCGATCATTCATTTTTATCCTTTATATGGTTGTTGAGTAATCCTTATTCTTTGTATTTATTAGATAGGATTCCTTTCCATAGTCGCTGACTCTTTTTTATGTTTTGTATTTATTTGATGGGTTCGCTTTTTTGCAGTAATAGATAAGTTATCTGTAGTAAGTCTGATATGATGTTGTTTTGGGACGGAAATCATGGTATTTTTGTAATTTTAATTTATTTCAGGATTATTATAGTCTTTGTAATTATAATTTTTTAATCTTTCAATACTAAAATAACATTGTTTTGAGAGTAAATATAGATAACTTATCTGCAGTAACCGCAAATATTTTTCTATTATTTGATAGGTATATCTTTTGTAACAAATTAATCTATTTAAAGATGACTGCTAATGATATCAAATCAAGGTTTTGATACCCGTGCTTGATTAAATAAAAACGCAACATGTTTGGTGACCACCATGTCAACCTTCTTTCCGTGGCCAAGATTTTTTTCATTGCTTTGCCAACTACACCTCAAATTTCCAACTTATTAGTGTAAGATTTTTTCATATAATAATTTAACAGGAAGATCGATACATGTATGATATATAAAACACCACATATCAATTTTGTTCTGAGAGAAATTTGTGTACCTGATTTGGCTATCTTATCTACTGAGCGAAGAACCTTGATCTCACGGCTAAAGTCTTCCTCTCTATGACCTATTCCGAAAGTGGCAGCCTCAGCGATGGGAGCATGACGGCTCATGGGACTTAATCCGAATATAAATAGGCTAGAGAGGGGACCTAGCCAAATACTCTAAAAAGAGTTTGTGTCCACTGGGTCCACCCATCACAGAAAACCAGTCACACTACCATCAGATGCCAAAAGCCCAACTCAACATGATCACAACGAGCTGATCAAAATAATACAGTTGGAATATTCATTAACCCGATTAATTTTAAAACAGAAAACCAATTAATTAATATTGCCCACATAAAGGAAAATTCTAACATTCTCCCACTTGGGCTATATTAATTAATGTAATATTATTTTGAAAATCACTTTATTTTGAAAACGACACTATCAGGTTAATAACTAAAAAATCATTTTGCGTGGCCACGATTTTCAAAAATAATATTCCAATTCCAATACCAGCATCTCAACACAATTCAATCCAACATACCCCCATCATAGAAATATGGCGATCAATATACCAAAAATATCATAGCATATGACCTTCCATACTCATATACAATGAGTATTACATCTTCATGAATCAAGGCCAAGTAGTGAAGTAAGAATTAGTGTCAAAATGTGATCAACCATGTAACACACTAATTCTTATCGGTCCTCAATGTAATTTCTCAACAACATGAAATTTCATTAGTGTAATTTCCAAACAACATGAAATTACATTCCATAATGCAATTTCTCAACAACATGAAATTGCATTACCGCAATTTCTAAACAACATGAAATTGCCTTTTTCAATCCAATTTCTTAACAACATGAAATTGAATTAGTGCAACTTCCAAGCGACATGAAATTACACTCTATAATGCAATGCAATTTCTAAACAACATGGAATTGCCTTTTTCAATCTTATTTCTTAAAAACATGAAATTGAATTAATGCAATTTCCAAACGACATGAAATTGCTTAGTTTAAATAAACCAACATGTCACAATACAACATGAGATCTCAAAATTTGTGACATCCAATCATCTTTAAGCTCACAAAATGCTTAAAGTTATTATTCATACATAGATTTCTCAGTTGACAGGAGAAATAACAATAATGATGATCATCAATTATTAAAATTAAAAAAAAAGTCACAAAAATATCATCAGTTTGCATGACCGAAAAACAAACTGAATATAACTCCAACTGATAAAGGGAATCAGAAGAATTTAAAACACTC